TTGTTAATGTTATATTGAACCTAAATCTTCCTTTTCTTTTAGGAAATGGATCAGACAATGGCTGCCAATGCTCAGAAGAATAAATTCTTGATTGATGGGTTTCCAAGAAATCAAGACAACCTTCAAGGTTGGAATAAGACCATGGATGGGAAGGCAGAAGTGTCTTTTGTTCTGTTTTTTGACTGTAATAATGAGGTAATGAAGACCTTCATCTGCCCACATGGGGTTTAACCAACTGATGGTCAACTATTAGAGAAAAACAAAGTGATTTTTTACTTATATTTTATGTCAGCAGCAGTATTGCTTTGAACTGGTAAATTGGTTGGATGGAACAGCACCGTATTGCTGTTGGACTATTAGAAACTATTTGGCATCAGCAACCTTGTGGACCTAAAATTTGCTTTATTTTCGAAATAGCAGTACTGTGTTTGTTTTAAGAATTGACTTGTACAATAATGTTAGGTAATGAAACTGCAGTGTTACCTTGTAGGTATGCACTCTTATCAGAGAGTATCTTGCCTTAGGACGTTAGGGCAACATTTTTCGGAAGTTGGGAAAACTTACTATTTTTATTTATTTATTTTTTTTTTAAATTTTTTTTTTTTCCAACGTTTTTATTTATTTTTGGGACAGAGAGAGACAGAGCATGAACGGGGGAGGGGCAGAGAGAGAGGGAGACACAGAATCGGAAACAGGCTCCAGGCTCCGAGCCATCAGCCCAGAGCCTGATGTGGGGCTCGAACTCACGGACCGTGAGATCGTGACCTGGCTGAAGTCGGACGCCCAACCGACTGCGCCACCCAGGCGCCCCAAAACTTACTATTTTTAAAGAAACATACAAGATAGCTTGATTTGCCTTCTAAGACTGAAATGATCTTGCAAAAAGCAGGAAAGCGTTCTTTTTCTTTCTGGCACTTCTAATAACATACCCAGACATACCTTTGAATAACCAAATTTCTCAGAGTCATTTAATTAAAAGGCCTGACTGTTTGACAGCTGCAGTAGAACTTCATTAAATTAATGCCAACAGCCTGGAAGAATAAGAATCTAAAGAACTGCCTTGAAGGAAGTTGGCTATTCTTGGGCTGAATTGCAAATGTGCCTCTGGTGGAGAGGCTTGCTGCAGCCTTTGAGTTGTTTTAAAATGTAACTCTCTTTTTCCAACCCCCAAAAATATGTTTTCACTTATTCTTCAAAGTTGACTTTAGAATGTTACCACAGCTTTATAACTAAGGAATGTTTATTCACGATTAACAAGGGATACTTTATTCAAATGCAAATATGTTGACTCTTAAATATTTGGATATTTATGGAATTATCAAAAAGTAAGCAAAATGGAACAAAGTTTGAGGCATGTAATTCATACCTAATAAGTTAATAATATATCCTGGATGGAAGCATACACATACAGATCTTCTTTTTATTGCGGTTTAAAAAAAAGTACACAGGAAAAACTGAGTCATGAATGAATTCTTATTATGCTCTGTGCTTATTTAACCTAGTTTATATAAATTGAACCACATGTTTAAATTTAAAAGGACTTTGCATGTTGATTAATGAATTAGACAAATTAGTTTTAATGTAGGGTTTTTTTGTGATCTCTTCAAACTTTGTTCTCATTCAGGTTAAAAGAATGGCAAATGTGAAATTCACATCTTTTTTTTTTTTTGTACTATTTATTTCTCTTTCTAGATCTGTATTGAACGGTGTCTTGAGAGGGGAAAGAGTAGTGGTAGAAGTGATGACAACAGAGAGAGCTTGGAAAAGAGGTACTTTGCAGACTTTACACATCACCACCTTGGGCTCATTTTGGAACTTGAGTCACAGATTAAATACCTGCCTCATTTTGGTCCAGAAAAAGAAACTGGCATGCTTAAATATGTAAAGTGTGTGGTCTAAGGAGATGGTAAGGGAGTCGGTTGGGTTGGGTCTGGGTTGTGCTCTGAGCTGTTCCATAACGTGGGGAAGAGCGGGTGGATACTTAGAACCTTGCAATATGTGCTGCTTTTGCAGAATTCAGACCTATCTTCAGTCAACAAAGCCAATTATTGACTTATATGAAGAAATGGGGAAAGTCAAGAAAATAGATGCCTCTAAGTCTGTTGATGAAGTGAGTATCCCTAGCTTGCCTTAAAAGAAAAGTCCAGTAAAAATGTGATTTGGGGGACAAGGGGTAGGTAGGCAGGAGAAAAAGAAGATGACAGATTAGTTTGTTTGCTTTTCAAGACCTGGGAGACTTAGTGAAAAATGAGATTTTTTTTTTCTCCTTTTTTGAATAGAGTCTAAAATAGATTTTACAACTTCAGACTTGTTCTTCATAAGAAGTGGGTGGTTTATTAATTCCAAACCTCTTTTCTCAAGCACTGGAAAATTGGCATTTTGAGAACTGTGATTTGGACCACATTCATCTTTTAAAATCTCTAAGTGAATGGCGAGTCTTCTAGAGCAAGGGCCCCAGGCAGCTTCCATCTCTTCATCACAGAGCACAGAGCCCCAGGGGCGCAGGGCTTCCGCTCCCAGCCCTTCCCTCCCACTCTGTAAAAATCCTGATCTCTAAACTGCTGTGCAAGCCCTCAGTGCCCAGCAGCTCTTTTCTAGTGTCTCTCTATCTTTATTTTTTATTTTTTAAATGTTTTTTTATTTTTGAGAGAGAGAGAGAGACAGACAGACAAAGCACGAGCTGGGGAGAGGTCCAAAGGAAAATAGATGAAACCAAGGAATTAATGTATTTTTTTAAATGATACATCTTGAAAATTAATAAAAAAAATGGACTTCTAAACAGGAACTTAGCCATATAGTATTTTAATAATACTTCCTTTTTAAATTACTGCTCTTTGTCCTTTACAGGTTTTTGATGAAGTTGTGAAGATTTTTGACAAAGAAGGCTAACTCTAAACCTGAAAGCATCCTTGAAATCATGCTTGAATATTGCTTTGATAGCTGCTATTACAACCCCTTTTTAAGGCAATTTTAATCTTTCATAATTACATCTCAATGAATGGCTGGAAAGTATGTAGTAAGACAAATTAAATTTTTTATCTTCAATTTTTCTGGTTACAGGAGTAGACAGTGAATTCGGGTCTAACTTCATCTTAGCTATGGTGCTCACAAAACAAAGAAGGATATCAGCTAGTTCTTTGTTTTTCCTCAAAAAGCATATCCCTTTTATAGTTTGTGCCTTCTGTGAGCAAAACTCTGTAGTCTGTGTGTATATCCCTTTAGTAATTACAACATGTTAAGATAAGGGATTCCCCACTTCTTTGTTTTCTTGTAGGTTTTACATTTCCAACCTGTTAAGCGAATTTGTGGACCAAATTCCAAAGGAACTTTTTGTGTAGTCAGTTCTTGCAAAATGTGTTTGGTAAACAAACTCATAAAATGAATTCCTAGAAGTGTTTTAGTATTTATCAAATAAGTGACCATTTCCTACAGAAAGATAAGAAAACTTAAGGCTTTGTTTTATTACAACTTATACAAAGTTGTATGACAAGGCATCTTCTTTGCTTCCAGGGATTGGGATGGGGTCGCTGGGGGTTCAGAGCCTGGGAGAATTGTCAGCTTTATTCTGACATAAATCTGAGGGTAAGGGGCAGGATCACATCAAATGACATGTGTTCCTGTGCTCCATTATATAGTGTTATTATTATTAATGATTAAACGGATCTTAACAAAATTCCTAGCAGGGGAACCTTGAAATGCATGTACTGGGTTTATGGTAAAATGATTTGGTTAGCATTTTAATAACCTTTCATTCAGAGTTTTTTGTTTTTTGTTTTTATTTGTTTTCTAGATTAAATGTAGGGTTGGTATGAAGTAAAAAAAATCTAATGGTTAAATTTCCCATTTGTGTTTATTTTCTTGAATACTTTTTTTTTCAGTTATTTAAGGACATTTAAAAATCATTGCACTTTGGTCAGAAAAATAATAAATATATCTTATAAATGTTTGATTTCCTTCCTGGCTACTTTTATTTAGTAAATTCTTTTTTGGCATCATGTTGAAGCATTGAAAGGTACAGAATTTTAAAAAGGCTATTTTAAAAAGGCTATTGAGTCCAAAGGAATTTTCCCTTAAATCCATTCTTCCTTTAAAAAATCTCTGAGAAATTTGTGTTCCCCTTTCTTATCTTTTTCTGCCATTACTAATGAAGAGTTATTTCCAAGGTTCTTAATGTGAGATTTATTAAAATGTTTCTCATTTTTAGCCCTTATACTGTTTGGTATACAGGGTTAAATAGGGTAAGGAATTTTGTTTTTGTTTAATTAGATTTTATATTTAAAGTCATTGGGAATAGGAGCGCCTGGCTGATTCAGTGGTGTAAAGTATGTGATTTTTGATCTCATGGTTTGAGTTCAAGCCCCACATTGGGCGTAGAGTTTACTTAAAAAAGAAAAAGAAGAATTAGAAGTATAAAGTCATTGGGAATAGTGAGGACAACTTGTGGATGTTCTTACAGTATAATAGGTTCATTTATTTCTGTGTGTTATGAAATTCACTTATTAATGATATATTTTTCAACATACTTGCCATTAGGAAACAAAATATAAGGGATGGATCATATTAGCCACCAAAATTTGTATTGAGATTATCTTGGTTTCCTGGAAGAGACTATAACAAATTCTTGTCTGGTGATTTAGTTCAGCAGATAACAGAGGGATTTTGCTGGTGGTTTAATCAAAAAGCTGCAGTATGAAGCAAGAGTAAAGACTATAAGGTTTTGAGAGCATTCCTGCTCAAATAAGTGAAGAAATTCATCAGATGGGGGAATCTAAATGTTTATACTGATTTTGGGAAGCAAACGTGAGGTTTTTAAGAAGACTGCTGAGACGAGGCACTTTGCTTCCTTTCATCACACAGCCTTTTGTGGCATTTGAGAACACAAATCAAGAAACATCGTAATTACGAAATTATGAGCCTTTGCTAGTTTGCTTTTGAGTAGAAAAACATGTTGGCAATATTGTGTTTAGGATTTGACTGAGATACATCGGACTTCATTAGTTTAGTCATTCCGTTTGTTAAAGTCACCAAGGAGGTTTTCACTGTTTTGAAAGACCTTAGTGGAAGCTTTGCTTTTTTTTTGCTTTTCTTTCTTTCTTTTTTTTTTAAATTAACTGACATTTCCTGATGTTGGATGTATATGAAATTACTTGGTAAATAATTCTAATAAATTTTGTGCTATGGCGTTTGCTGTTTCAGATTTCCATTCTCTCAAGCATATTGAAGACTGAGAAATATCCTGTATTTAACATGTGGGTTTACAGCAAAAGCAGAGTTCAGGATCCAGGAGAATTTTCTGCTCTGTATTATGTTTGCACATCTTGAATTAAATAGAAAGCATGACTTTATCCCATTCCTTCAAGAAGTAATCTGGATCGAGGCACAAGTATAGCCTATTTCATTACCTACCTACAGCAGCAATTGCTTGTCTCTTTGAGGGGGAAATTGGCATCAGGCTATGTCTCAAGATGCCTTGGGGGGCTTGTGTCTTTGTCATGTAATTAAGTAGTTGCCTGACACTCTGGAGATAATAGTGACTGAAAGTATTGGCCAGAGTAGGTCAGCTTTTTTTTTCCCCTGGAGGTTTGGTCCTTCTTCAAACTCATAATAATTGCACAAGCTGTAGGTGCTACAAACACATACTCTGCCTTCCAAGAGTTTTCTATCTGAAACTAACACCCTGATGTGGGTAGACCTTCACATGTCTTTTGATGGGTAATGATCATTATTATATAGCTTATTTCACTTCTCCCTAGCCTGCCCGCATGTTTCAACTAAATTAAGCACTCCTTAATCCTAAGCATTTTTCTTTTAATGAAGAAAGTAAGCTCATTTGTTGTGTACCAAGGAAAAAGGTAAAAATGGTCCTAATCACCTATCCCTTTATTTCCTCACCCCTGACCCCAGTTTAAGTATTCTGTTGGATCCAGGTTTGCTTTCCGTTGAATGGGTGTGGTTATTGTGACTGTGGTGTTAATTCTGGGCCTCATTTGTGCTCCGCAGGTCACCAGCTTTCCTGTCCTTGGGACAGCTAAAGGACGAAGTTGAATTTCTGGCTATCACGCTGTATACCCTTTGTCAGCCCTGCCACCTCCAGGCCATCACCAGGGCTCAGATTTTTGTGAGATCCCTGCTGTCCCTGCTCATCAGAGCAGAACCTGGTTTTCTGGAGTCCATCTTCTTCAAAAAGGCTCTTTCATGATTTTGTCCTCCTAAGACCTAGCCATAAGAGAAGAGGGCTTAATTATTTTGGCCTATTCAGGGAGAGATGACGGTAATAAATCAACATTTCTCTAAGTGAGGTTCTTTCAGCCACAGAAAGTTGTTTTTTATTTATGATACATTTTGAAGTAACGCACAAAGTGTTACCTTCTTAACACTGGCCTTCAATGCCCTAACCAACCAAAGGAAAAGCATCTGTAGAGGTAGGTTACCTCATCCCAGCCCTGATGTAGATAATCCAGACAAACTTTGAAAATTGTCTTCTACACTGTAGAATCGAGCAGTTGAGCAGTTAAGCAGCATTTTGCATAAATAGCAGATGCATTCTCATTTGGTTGAGTAACCACATCTAAAAAGAGAAAATAAAATTCAAAAAACATGTATGTGAGCTTTGGGAATATTTGTATTCTACCCTTTAGAAGGCTTCCTAGAAGAAGTATATTCTTGGTAACTGCTTCTCTGAAATTAAGGGGGAAAACTGATACAGTGGACTCGAGATGGACTTCCAAGAAACCCCCTGAATTGGCTGAGATTCCTTGCCAGTTTGTAAATGCTTGCGGCCCTCTGAGGACTTGGGGTAGAACTGGCCCTCTTATGACCACCTGGCTCCAAAGGCTTCCAGAACCAGAGGGAGAAGATATTGAATCAGCTCAGCAGTTAGTACTTAAAAGCATAAAGCTGTTGTGCATGGCTCACCCCAGGTTGGTTGGTCCTTAGTTTTACAGAGAAGCATTCTCACAAGTGGTTCCAAACCAGCTGCCAGAATTTGGCCAGAGTATGATTGTGACAAGGCTGCATCAAAATAGCCTTGTCAAAATGGAAACCTTTTTTTCCTTTTAATTACCAGGTAGAGCACAATAGGCACTACCATCATCCTGTCCTGGATTGGGGTGGTGGTTTAGACCACCATAGACACGTCATTTACATTATTTGAGGGAGAAATGCTAAAGTTTAATGGTCAACTTTCATGTTGGGTCAAAATAATCACATCAAAATGACCAGTTTAAAACAGCTACATCAAAATCCCCCTGATGTCAAGGACTGTGTCAGAATGTCCTTGTCACATCCAGTATCAAACATGATTGAGCAGAGACCATTCCTCTGCCTAGGGCCTTTCCTGCTTAGGTCTGGCTAAGTGCTCTTTAGAGAAGGTAGGTGCACTACTGGACTTGAGGCTGCTGCTGTTGTGCTAATGGAAGAGTCAGAAATGGAGGGGATGGATGGGATGGGATGAGGGCAGGGAGAGTAAAACCATTTGTGTAGAGAAGCAGGAGTTGGTTCATTCCAGTTCTTTGGCCATGATGGTCCTTGTAGGAGACTTACTCTACCCATAATCACTCCTATCAAACACCATTTCTTAATCTGTCCAGTCTTCATGATCATAGACCACATTCCCACTACTCTCCAGGATTATTTTGTTGATGAAAATGGGCTTCAAGAATGAGACTCCCTTGATACTATCTATCTTCATTTATCCTTAACTTATGGTTTCAGTAGTTTTATGGATATTTGTGAGTTTAGCTTGTGTATATGACTTTAAGTATTTATAGTCAGCTAAATCGTTGTTTCATATGACAATACTCAGACTGGCCAGTTGCTGAAATAATAACTAGATTGATACAGGAGGCATTATTACAGTCTGCAATCACATTCATGGATCTGCCATCTTAATTGAGCTAACTGGTTGTGTTAGCAAGCTACCTGGCAGAGATACTAGCTTTTAGGATTGAGATCAGAGAATTTGTTACAGGAAATCTACATCTTCCTTAATTAGGCAGTGTGTCTGTCATCAGACCAGGAGATGATGAGCACTAAAATGGTGACATTACAAAGAGTTTGGTGGCAGGACGCCTGGGTGGCTCTGTCAGTAACTGTCCAACTTTGGCTCAGGTCGTGATCTCATGGTTCATGGGTTCAAGCCCTGCATCAGACTCTGCGCTGACAGCACATAGCCTGGAGCCTACTTTGGGTTCTGTGTCTCCCTCTCTCTTTGTCCCTCCACTGTTCACACACTGTCTGTCTCTCAAAAATAAGTAAATATTTTAAAAAACGTTGGCTGACCATTCATTCAAAATATGTTTGAGACACATTTATTAAGGATACCACAAGCAGTAATACGTAGTCCCTGCCTTCAACAGGCTCACAAGTTAAGCTCAAATCTAGCAGTTTCTTAACTGTATTGTGTTTTTGTATAGTGCTTTAATGCAAGCACACTTTTACCTCTGTTCTCATCTTGTTTTCCCAACCATTCAGGGTGGGATGACGGTTTTCCTGTTTTGTGAATGATTAAACTGAAGCTGAAGGAGCCCAAGTCAATTGCCCAACAATACTTACAGCTAGATAGTTGTGAGTCTGGAATTGGACCCCAGACCTTTGGGTCTTACCAGATCTGCCTCCTGTCTTCCAGTAGCCCATGTTGCCTACTTGTAATAAAGCCTGATTTTGAAGTGTAACCACTAATATGCCATCATGCTTCCTCATCACTACCCCGTTACTGTTGTTTATTTTAATGTTTGTTTATTTTTGAGAGAGCGGGAGCAGGGGAGGGGCAGAGAGAGAGGGAGACACAGAATCCAAAGCAG